TGATGTTTTTTTTTTTTTTTTTTTTAATTATGATTTCATTTTTTCCTCTTTTTTGTTTTCATTGAACTTTTTTTCTATTATGCTCGCTACCTCGGAGGTACCGAGCAGAATGCCGAATCCCTATGAGAATAGGGGGAAACGGCAGCGAGTGAGCTGCCGGAGCTTCGGCTCTGCCAATCCAGATGTTGGATCGGCTGAGTCAACTTCGGCTTGCTGACCGTAGGCAGCTGATGTACGGCTGATTTTAGCCGTACAAGGCTGACGTGAATAGCCGAACAGCGTACGGCTCACTTCACTTCATCTCTGTTATTCACCCGGCTGCCTTCAGCAGCTAAGTGGATAACCCCCATAGTCTCATTCAAGAAGATATTATAGTACACCTTCAATAAATAAATATTACATGGGGTACCATTGCTGACCTTTATGTGAAGACCATGCAGCCATGGAAGACAGAGCATCTGATCATTTTACTTGATATGGATCAGTGACTTGGAAAGCATTGAAGCCAGTCAATCAACACAATAACTGGGCAAGTGGATTTTTTTCAGAAGCAGATCAGCGATGGCAGTCTACATATTTCTTTCAGGACTGGTTTCCTTTTAAACCAAGATGGCAAAATATATTGGTTCCTAAACTGATTGTATGGTTAGCCATTCCAGTAACTTGGGGTGATTAATCAATAAGTAAGCCAGTAATGGACAGCATATTGCATTTTGGGGGGGTCGCAGTGAGCCTTGATCCCTCAGATGGGCCATTGATTACACTGATTGTTATTTTTTTGTATTTGTGGATGGTCACACCCTCAAAACAGGACTATTCTCGCAGTCCTGATACCAGCTGGGCTGCTATTCTTATACTGAAGCATGCTAATTGGGACACGTGTTCATGTGCCTTTGAATTTACAGCACCAAATAAATATACTGTGGGGGGATTTATCAAAACTGGAGCAGACAAAACATGGAGCATTTGCCTATGGCAACCAATCAGCTTCTGTCTTCAGTTTGTTCAGTTAAGCTTTGAAAATGAAAGGTGGATGCTGATTGGTTACCATGCATAGCTGCTCCACATTTTGTCTACTCCAGTTTTGATAAATCCCTCTCACTGTATGTATACTCAGGAAAATCCTAATGGTGACATTATAGGTGCATTAAGGCTGCTGGTGCAGCACTGTAAATTGAGTTTCATTATTTATAGGTTATATACTGCTTCTAGATTGTATTTAAGATTATTGGTACCTGCAGTTACCACATAAACTAGTGCACTTAAAGTTGTACGTTTGATAGTGGCCCATTAATAGAAGCAGGTGTTAGTTAAGCATTATCTAGCTGTGCAGCAGCTTACCTGGCAATTAATTACATTGATCACCTTTTTATTTTCTTGATGGTTACAGCTTCATGATGGTATTTATAGTCCCGTGTTGGATGCAACGTTTGTTATGGTGGCCCGGGATCCAGAGAACAGGAGGTATATGGATGCTGGACATAACTGGGTGCAATTTTTTTACAGATCAAGCATTGTATATTGTCTTGGAAATGTGGAATAGTCTGCTTTTATAATAAATAAACTTCGTATGACTTATCAATGTCCTTAGGCCAGCATTTGTTAATCCTTTGGTTCCTGATGGAGAAGAAGAGGAAAATCTTTTCAAAAATGGGGAATGTAAGTATTTATCTAACCTAATGATTACAAACAGTGTTTGTGAACCAACTGATTACATTTATACAGCATTCTGATTTGACTCTCCCTCTCACTGTTTTTATATTACATAGATTCCCATAGTTGCCAATCATCTTCATGTGCTACATAGGTGCCCATAGTAACTAGTCGTCTTCATAATACTGCATAGATACCTATGCTTACCAGTCTTCTTTATATACTACATTGATGCCCATAGTAATCCGTCATCTTCATATGCTACATGAATGGCCATAGTAATTAGTCATCTTCATATACTACATAGATGCCCGTAGTAAACAGTCATCTTTTTATACTACATGGATGTTCATGGTAACCAATCATCTTCATATACTACATAGCAACCTGTCCTCTTCATAATACTGGATAGATACCTATAGTAACCAGTCATCTTCATATACTACTTCGATGCCCATAGTAACCCGTCATCTTCATTTGCTCATAGATGCCCAAAGTAACCAGTTGTCTTCATATACTACATGGATGCCCATAGTAACCTGACCTGTCCTTTTTGTTGCATAGTAATTGGGAGCAAAGATGGAAACTAGAATACCTTTCACATATTTGAAACAATCCTGTCTAGATATAACTCATAACAGTGTTGATAAAATATTTTACTGAAAACTTTTACAGCTGAACTCTGGGATAAGCAAATATCATCTATATACAAGAGTCATGTGTATTGTTACTTGCATCTTGGTGTACTTTGTGTGCTTCATCCAAATCTTTGCAGCAGTTCACTGTGAAAAATATGTGTAGGAGTTTTCTGTAATCCTGACCAGTCACTTTTGCTTTCTCCGTGTGCAGGGTGACTGGTCTTGTATCTGCCCCTACCTGTAATTTTCTGCAGGAAGCCTGTAGTGGGAGAGTCTTCTGAGCCCTTTCCATAGCTTTGCTCCCTGCACAGGCTATGTGCAGCACATGGATGATGTCACTACTAATATTATATAGTAATAACTGAGTTTGCAAAGGCATTTGGTGCTCACAAAGTGGATTTATATCCTTTGTGGTGATTAAGGAGTATATTTAAATGTGTGAGTGTAGATTTGTGAGGCAAGAATCCACTAGTTCCAAGGAGTGGTAACTTGGCTATTCTCTGGATATAAATGAAACATCCATACTTACTATTTTAAAATAATATTAACTTCTAGTATGAGAGAGGATGACCAAACCTATATAATCCGGTGTTCTGCCATTTGGGGTTCATTCTAAAAACTAGTGTGAAGCAGAAAGTTCTGTGTTTCATGTCTCCAACTATGCTTTTTATGTTTTTGTTTAGTGAATAAGTTGAGGCGAATTGCATTCAGTACCGCGTCTCTTCTGAAAATGGCTCCAGAGGCAGAAGAAAGGACAATTGTGCATGATATGTTTCTGGACACATTAGATACAAAGTATGTCCATAGAGATAAATACCAATCCTTTGACTATGGATGCGACAAATAGCTTTCCTGAAGCTACTCACAAATGTCTTCTTCTAATGTTGTTCTATAGGACAGTGAGCTTCAGAAGTCGTGTATTGCCTTCCAAATCAGTGTGGATGGAAGATGCTAAGCTTAAAGGCTTGGAGATCTGTCACCCACAGGTATTACCTTTTGATGTTGCATATCAATATATTTATGGACTAATATATTTAATAGGAACTATACACATAGTTAAAAAAAAATAAAAAAATCTACAATCTACAACCACCACCACTGCTGCATGGGCACAGTAGCAGTCTTGTCTTTCCTTCTGAGGTAAAGAAGTTTGGTTCATCTTTGCATGCTTTGGAAGTCCACAAGCAAATTGCATTCAGGTTTTTGATGAGAGTATGTGCCCTTTCTACCCTGCTTTAAGTGATTCTCTATTACTAATTGCCAGTTCTAGCGTGCACCATGATCTTTATAAACCTTGTGGAAATCTGTCTGCAGCTTGTTGTGAACATGTCACTTTGCTGATTACTTTTCAAGCCTGCTAACTGGTACATTAATTAAACCAATCTGTTCTAATGGTAGAACAAACAATTACTGTATAGTACATTGAAATGTATAGTAAACTCTGTATATGAATGGAGTTGAAAGAGAATAGTCTTGCTAAGGATTCCACAAACATTCCATTTGGACTTATATTCTGTTTGGATAAATGTACTGCATGTAGATTTTCAATTTTTGGGAGGATAAATAAAAAAGCAGGATAACATATTACTCATTTCCAGTGGCAGATGTTTTGTGAATGCAATCAAAAGTATATTTTCAATTTTAAAATCATAGTTTTGTGAAATAATACTAATGCTGCCCATACATGCACAATAGACTTTTGTAAAATTCATTGCAATTTTCAGCTGAAGCATTTAGACCCTTGGTTCTCAACTGGTGGGTCGTGACCCAAAAGTGGGTCGCGACCCCGTGTTCAGTGGGTTGCCGCATGCCTTCCACTTTTCTAGGCGAGAGGCTCCCCCTAGCCCCTAGCCTCCCCCTAACGCAGCACTGTCCGTTCTCACACCGAGCAGCCATTCAAAATATGCTGCCCAGCGCTGAGTGTCCACCTGAGGTGGGGTGGGCTGGAGGTATGGCCAAGAGAGAGCTCCATCCATACATGCATTGCTTATAGCTCCCTCGCATGTCCTGTAGAGGTGCCTGGACTGGAGTGACGTCACATTCTGGCTCCTGACACCTCTACAGGTGTGCATGGGAGCTGTACAAACAATGCACATATGGATGGAGCTCCGTCACAGCACAGCAGCCCACACTGCTGTGTGTTCCATTGCAGTGCAACATGGGTCGCGACTTAATGACCGAGGACAAATGTGGGTCCTGAGGTTATACAGGTTGAGAACCACTGATTTAGACGATGCTCCCGTTTGTGATTTTGGGTGAGGACTGCATTTTTTTTCACTTCAATGCAAATTAAAATGATATTAAATTACAAATTCCACCCAATCCATTTCTACACTGTAAAAGATTGCATTTAAAAAAGTATTATTTTGCTATAAATTGATGTGAGGGCACTGCTGTGTAGTTGGAGAACTGTGAAAAAACAGTACATGTATTATTTTGGAGTTATACCCATCCACAGTATGCTGCTATCATGTCCAGATCTGCTTTGCCACATGCGTTTAATGTATTTCTCAGTCCTGTGTGCACTCTTAATGTTTTTTTTGTTTTTTTTAATTCCACTTAAGCAAAGGAACATCTTCAACAGGATATTTGGTGGATTTCTAATGCGAAAGGCCTATGAACTGGGTTGGGCTACTGCATGTTCCTATGGGTGAGTGATTATTTTTTTTTTCTTTACCTTATTTAAATATTTTCTACTCGCTTACATCATGAATATTTTGGGACTTAAGATCTTACATCTGTATATAGAAGTAATCAGCTGTGTACTTCTACATGTCCTTCTCATAGATGATTTTAGGCTGTATAATAACCCCATTTATATGTGCGTACACTAATGTATTTCAGCGTAAGTGTGCATATCTATGTACCGTATATACTCGAGTATAAGCCAAGTTTTACAGCCCATTTTTTGTGCTGAAAAGTGCCCCCCTCGGCTTATATTCGGGACGGCTTATACTCGAGTATATACGGTATTTGTATATAATATAAGAAAACCTATTGCCACACCTTTCTCTTCTAGTGGATCGAGACCTTACGTTGTAGCCGTTGATGACATTATGTTCCAAAGGCCTGTGGAAATTGGGTCATTATTATTCCTGTCCTCTCAGGTAGGGTTTTATATTTAGAGCTAAGGTTGTATTTATTTAATTGTGATCATTTTGATAATACATTTTTTGTTTTAAAATCCATGCAACTGAGATCTTCAACCAGTGATCCAGTATGATTAATTGGCAGAACACTTAAAAGAAAACTATGGCCCAACCTTTTTTTTTTGGGCCATAATTCTCTTCAGGGTCACAGGAGGACATATACTAATGTTCTCCTGTGACCCAAAACTCAGCATATACTGTAGAGGGCTATTGCCCGCTATATGCTGACCGCGCAGAGCCGCGCTGCAGCTGGGACGAATCCCGACAATATTGTCGGGATCCACCCCGCTACCTGATTGATAGCTGGCTCTGCAAGTATGCCATGACAAAAATTAGTAATGTCTTTCGATTGTAAGATCAAAATAGATGCCTGGGGTATTATGTTACCCACTGACTGCTATTAAGCACAACTCACTAAGGTAAAATGCATGTGGTATAAACGGTCACGGTTCTTATCCATCATGTGACTCTTATTTTCAGTTGTAAATTCTGAACGTAATGGTTATTATGGCAAATAACCATTTTATAGCTCAGTGAAATTAGTCTATTTTATATGATCATTTGAAGTACAGAGGAAGAGACAATACAATCTGCTCTCAGGATTGGTCTTTGTCCAGTTACACAGTTTAATTAATGAGGGCTTGTGTTCTGTTTGTGTGTAGGTGTGCTATACAGAGAGCAACTATATCCAGATCCGAGTCCACAGTGAAGTTTCAGATCCCATCACTAGGGAACATCAGACAACTAACATCTTTCACTTTACGTTTATGGCGGACAAGGAAGTGCCTCGCATTATGCCAAAGACATATGGGGGTGAGTTGGCATTAATCTTGTATGTTTTTTTTATTGTAAAGGGAAATATTGGTGTATTTTCAATAAGTAAACATAATGGGGTTGATTTTCTAAGTGATCAGAGGCTGATCACTAAGCAAAGTTCATCTCTATGTAGAGCCAAAGAAAATCTCACCGCTCCAATTCCTTAGCTGCCATCGGGACTCCCCAGGTGCTGGTCTAATAGGTGCGTCTCTACCTTGGAATGTAGTAGTATACGAACAGACCACACTATCCAGAGAATTCCAATACTTCAGACTTTATTGAAATTCACAGCAAATCCAGTATAACAGTGTATAAAGCAACAATATCCAATAGCAGGCCGGGAATGGCTCCCAGCCTGCAGATAAAGAGGAGGCAGGAGGGCGGGGCAGAGGAGCCGCAGCTGGACGGGGAGCGGAGGATCGGCCAGAACGGGGAAGAGAAGCCGACGGACCGGGGAAGAGGAGGCCGGGACAGCAGCGGAGGTACGGGGGGCAGCGGCGCAATGCAGCGGGGACACTGTGTCCCCGCTGCCTCCGCCAACACAGGTGGTGAGAGCAGCACGGATTGGAAGGGACACAGGCCGCTGTTTAATGTAACATTGACTTAATAATAAATTCTCTTTTCTTTTTCTATAGAGTCAATGCTCTTCTTAGATGGGAAGCGACATTTTGATGCGGCAGTACAAAACAAAAATGGTCAGAGCTTGATCAAGAATCAAGAATTGTTATTCAACTGACAATATACCAACACAGCTTGGTATACATCGTTACATTAAGACTGCTTCCAAAGACAAGAGGTGGAGATGATCTAAAGGGACATGAAGCACTTTGGAAAAGAGCCGGAAGTGATTTTTGCTGCAGTGACTTCCATTTTATTACGCTACATTTTTATAATCGCGCACATTTTCCATATGGGTAATATCAATATTCATGCTATGTTTAATGAAAGCGAGTTCTAGCTTTCTAGCTGCTGCATGGAAAGATTTTTCTTTTATATATATAAATCTATCATCTGGGGCATTTTTATTATTTTCCTTTAATGAATGCTTAGTTTGATAAGCATATATTTAATAAGGCCATAGCAACCGATCAGCATGTGACTGCACCAACTACTTCAAGTCCCTAGGGGTTAAATCTGACTGGTTGATCTGAGATACAGTATACTTGTGTGTTTTTCTCCATGTTCCTGAATAAAGGCCATAGTATCAAATCAAGATGCAGTAGCACTCCGATCATGACGATCAGGGGTTGGTAACCTCAGCACTACAGCAGTTGTGGAACTACAAGTCCCAGGAGGCATTGCAAGACTTTGACTGCCACAAACACAACTCCTAGAAACATGGTGGGATTTGTAGTCTCAGCAGAGCTGGAGTGCCAATGTTGCCTTCCACTGATGTAGATCTTCAGAGAGGTGCTATAATAGAAAATCCTAGCAACTATACAATTATAACAAAATAAAATGCAAATGAAGACTGCTTTCATTGTTGATTACAATGCAACATTTTTCACTAGGCGTCCATCATGTGTCTACTATGAGACTTATTTAAAGGAATCGAGAAAAATGTATATCAAAGCGCTAAAGGTGTAACAAATAAGAAACTTAGTATAACCAAGTGATATAATGAAATTTTAGGTTTAGGGGGTCTAGCCCTAAAACAAGTGATATCTTACATAGAATCATAAAAAATATATATGAATATTTAACCAAGGGAGATTAATAAATGAAATCCCAGAATTTTATTAATCTCCCTTGGTTAAATATGTTTATTCTTTTTTAGGGTCTCTAACTATTCACTTTAATATTTAAAGGAATGCATAGGCAAAACTTTTTTTGTTTTGGATAGAGTAAGGAAGGGTAGGTTTTTTTGCTGTTTCCTATTGGGGAGCTTTTCCTTCTATTCCTGTCCCAAGAATGCAACAGAAAGTGGGAGGAAATCTCTACAAACTCCTACATAGTTGTCACTGAAACAAGTGTCGCTGTTGGTAGAATTCCCCTTTTTATTCTGGTTCTGATGACAACTCAAGTTATTCATTTTCCTTTACTTTTGGTCCCAGTGACTAAGACAAAGAGAGGAAGAATCTCCCTAACTGGGACACAGATGGCAATAAAGACCTGACGGGCCTTAAACCTTCACTACACTATGCAAACCTAAGCAAAAGTTTACATACACTTTAAGAGGCATGTTTATAAAATAGTGAATGTGACATTCACCAAATAATAATTGCTGCAGGTGAATTTTCCTGGTGCGTGTGTATTAAATTACAAGGAATGTTCACCTGCAGTGAATGTTGGATGATGTCCCATTTGCTGCTTTATAAATATGCCCCCTATGTCTGACCTAAAATCTAATACAACTAAGCAGAGTGTGTGAACGCATGCACCACTTTGAGCCTCCACATACTTCTGGTTTGTTATTCATTCCTGAAATACTACTGCATGATACTCGGGAGCCCCTAAATCTTTATGCGACTTTTCAGAAAGCCGTCATTTACACAAATTTCATTTCCTGCATCCCATGCTGTAAGGTGGGTGCCACTGAGAAGTTCCGCACGGTTTTACCCACTGCACTCTGCGTAAGCTGAAAACTGCCATGCTTCTCAGTGCCATCTAGTGGCGGTAGTGCCATGCAAACTGCATTTGCCCAGCTCTATGTTAGGTGGAAGATTATAAATCCTCCCCTAAGCTTCATCTTAAATTAAAGGAGAACTATGAGGTGAGTGAAAATCATTCAGCCTCATAGTTTGAGCCGACGTGTGATACTCAAACTGTCACATGTCGGCTCAATAGATCGGGAAGTGAGCGAACACATACCGTCGCTCGCTCACTTCTCGATCATGTCACTGCAGAGAGCCGTGACTGTCAGTCACGGTTTCCCGCAGAGATTCCCCCCTCCCTGCTCCGATCCTCCAGCGCTGACTGGAGGAACGGATGGGGAGGGGGCGGGTACAGCTGGTTCTGCCTCTAGATAGGCAGAGCCAGCTGTCACTCACGCTGCAAGGTGGATCTCGACAGTAATGTCGGGATCCGTCCCGGCTGCGGCGGCCTCGGTATACCGCAAACTATAGCCCATGACATACTGAGCTTTGGGTCACGGGAGGACGCTAGTTTATGTCCCTTAAGAGAAAAACATTTACCCCATAGTTCTCTTTTAAACAGGTTAATTTTGAACAACAAAACACAGATTCTATTGGTAACTAATCCACAATCATTTATTCTTTTTTATTGGCTCTGAAATAATGAAAGCCAAGCATGGTTCTCATGGGTTAATACACTCGCTATCCCAACCTTACATTATTTAAAGGGAAATTTCAGTGAGCACATATTTTAAATTATTTTGTTGCTTACCTTAACCCCTTTTATGACTGCATAATGCATAAATGAGGCAGCATGATGGTTGAACCTTAACGCCCAGGTGCTGTATGTACTGTGTTTCCCCGAAAGGAAGACCTACCCCGAAAGTAAGACATAGCGCTATCTTCAGAGATTTCTGTAATATAAGACCTACCCCGAAAATAAGACCTAGTTCGGGGTAGGTCTTATATTACAGAAATCCCTGAAGATAGCGCTAGGTCTTATTTTCGGGGTAGCTACACATATCACTGAATTTTAAATGTAAAGACCGGCTGCAGCTCCCGCCCCGCTCCACACGCCAGCAGGCCGCAGCTCCCGCCCCGCCCACACGCCCGATGGAAGCGGCATATCATCCGCCAACTTCGAGACCGGCAACAGCACGCCTTCTGGGACCTCGTCCAGTCCTGTGAGTACTCCTCCCCCAGCCCGGTAAGACATCCCCCGAAAATAAGACCTAGTGTCTTTTTTCGTGCAAAAAAAAAAAGACAGTGTCTTATTTTCGGGGAAACACAGTATGCATTGCTGTCTTGTTCTGGGGTGCACTTCATGAGCACCCTCCTTACTGTGATCAAGCATCAACAGCTCATGGTAAACTGCTGATGTTTTAAGGGAGCTGGTAGGACTGCCTCCTGATGATATCATTACTGTGCAGCCAATCACAAACAAGTAAATGGGAGCCGCTCCTAAAGGCCTCCCGTGTCATGGCCCACTTAAATGGCTGGCTCCCATTGGCAATAAAGGGGTTTTGTTTTTTTTTATAATATGTGCTCATATTTTTACTTGTTTGATCTTTAACACAATAACAAAAATATCAAAGTGCACCTGTACACATATTTATTGAGCTAACAATCTATGTAGCATGCACTTTATACTCACTCCCGCACTGCTCTGATTTGCTGCCAACCTGCCCTAAAAACTCAGTGTATTTCCGCTTTTGCAGCCAAACCGAGATAATGCCCATTTTATATTTGTTACATGTTCTCATTCTTAAAGCATGACTTAAAAACAGTGCTGCTTAGATATTACTTGCTCTATTCTGAAAGGTGTTTCTCTAAACAGAATTCTCTTCTGGAATGTAAGGGGGCTGGGCAGGTTAATGTTTACCATAATTAACCCTGTCTGTACTGTGCTGACAGATCTCATTATCAGCTGTAAACTTGATTGGAACACTGTCTATTCCAACAAAGGGTTAAAGAGCTAGAAGCACTGTATGTTAATGAGAGGAAGCTTGTTGTGCCCGTAGTCTTTCTATGAGGACAGGCAGAGTTTCCTGTCACGTTTGAATTTGTACAGAGAAGCCTGTAGTCATTGGAAAAACCTACTCCACAGAGACATCTAAGATAAGAAAGGTAAGAAATATTTTAGACAAATTCTTTTTAGATATGCTGTGTGAATGGGCACACATAACAGACCTATAGAGGGGGTTTTCCAAAATATGACGCAAAGGTGGAAATACACTTTAAAATGTACACAGGATTAGTTCCCACTCTTCTACGTGTAAAAGCAGATGGGCTTGGTGATTGGCCGTTTAGATACAGAGTGTGGCATTGTGGGATAGCAGTAGACATGTCATGTGTTCTTCCAACCTGGAAGTACCGGCTATTTTTTGGGGAGGCTGGAAACTGGGTATTGGGTTAGGCAAGTACTGGCTCTATATGCTTCATACAGTAAAGTGAACTCTTATTTGCTCATTATGGACAAACTTTGGCGTCACAAGGGGGGTGCGGCCCGCACCCGGGTGACACACAGTCATTTTGGTGTCGCCCCCCTCTGAAAAGTCGGGCACTCGGTCATGGACCGAACGCCTGACAGTATCAGGAGAGAGGAGGGGACCCGGCGGCATTCCTTATCCCGCCGGGCGACTGTCCCCTCCTCTCTCTGCCGGCGTCCATCACCAAGATGGCCGTCGGCAGGTATCAGAATACTGCCGCGCGTGCGTGGTGATGTCTCGGCGGGGTGACACTCAGTTACGCCCCTGTGGACAAAGCACAGGTTCACCTAAGCTAGAGCTACAGAAAGTTCTCAGTGGGCTCAGTACAATCACTTTATCTTCTGAGTCACATCTGATGATATAACATACTGTATAAGCCACAGGAGGAGTGCATTGTTTTCAATCAGTCAGCCAAATCATAGATTTGCATTATGATAAGAAGCAGTAAGATACATTGGCAGGGATTTATCAAAACTGGAGCAGACAAAATCTGGAGCAGTTGCTCATGGGAACCAATCAGCTTCTCTTTTCAGTTTGTTCAGTTAAGCTTTGAAAATTAAAGAGCGAAGCTGATTGGCTACCATGCACAGCTGCTCCAGATTTTGTCTCCTCCAGTTTTGATAAATTCCCCCCATTGTGTAGCCTTAAGGTGCCCATACATCTTACGACCATCGCAAGACTTTTGTCTTGCGATGGTCGTATGCTTCTTGAAAGCCCGTACGATCTGCCCACCTTGGACGGGCAGATCGT